CCGCACCGCCCGCCTCGCCCTGACCCGGCGGCCGTCTGTGCGCTCCCAGCTGCGGCTGCCGGGCCTCCCCCGACATGTGCGCGGGGCGGTGTTAAAGGCCCGGCCGGAGCGAAGGGGCGGGGCCAGCGGCTCGGCCCGCCCCCTCCGGCTCCGCCCCGCCCCCTCCTCGCTGATACCCCCACCTCGGCCCCTCCCCTTTCCGAGGCCCCCAGCGCCGGCTTCTTGCTCAGGATCCCTCCCAGCTCCCAGAGACGTCTGCTGAGGGTAGGGGAACTGGGAAGTTGATATGTTTTTACTCCCAACCTGAAGCAGCTGCATTCTTAGATTTGGGGAGAAGGAGGGGAGGTGACTGCGGTGGGGAAAGGTTGCCGCCCAGGTCATCCTAGCCAGCCCCCGGCCTCAGAGCTCCCTCCGGAGACTGTGCATGTCAGTTGGGGGTAGCTTAGGTGCAACACTCTCTGAGCCCTAGGGATTAAATGGAGGGGACCCCAAAAGAGCCAAATGCAGGGCCTGGGGAAGGAAAACATAGAAGATGTAGAGAAAGGGAAGGAGTCGCCCCCCAAAAGCCAAAAGGAGACCCGGAGCAGAGACCCCGCCTTTCCAGGAGAGGCCACAGGGTGGCGCCAGAGGCCGGCGCTCAAAGGCGTGAGCTCTAGGCGGGGTTGGGGTGGGGGGTCGCCGTCTACAGCCCCCAACGCGCTGCGCCTCGAGTCCCAGGGTCAGCTCCTGACCCCGACCCGCCAGCGCTGGCCCCCAGGTCGGGTAGGGTCAGACCAAGCAGAGCTGGCATCGACCGCCGCCCTGACAAGAGCATCGATTTCTGCGCGGAGAAATTAATAGATCTCTTAGCTCTTCGGACGCGGGAGCCGCCCGCGGGTGGAGCTGGGGACCCGTGGGCCTTAGAAGGCCGCGCACCCGGAAAGCCCTGGGATCTCCAGCACCCAGAACACCGGACGACAGGTCCCGGCCCCTCCCAGACCGCGGGCCTTTGCGGCTGCAAGAGCCCGCCCCGTCTCAAGGGAAGGGGGTTGGGAGAAAGGCTTTGGAGGAGGGGCTCTTGGGGACAAGGGACTGTCAGGGGCCCCCGGGAGCCGGCGGTGGAAGTCCTCCGAGAGGCGTGCGGTTCTCCTCTCTACCAGGGCCCCAGCACGGACTGTCCCACCAGTCCCCGAGACAGGGACGGACAGACAGGCGGAGCAGCGTGAGTTCAGAAAGATGGCCAGGCAGAGGCGGAGCCCCACACGGTGATCGCCCTCCTTCGCGGATCTAGGCCGGAACCAGGACCTTGGTCCCGACCAGCCTCGCGCGAAAGGGACCCCTAAGCCGACCGGGCGGCCTCCTGGGAGATTGGGAGGGGCTCTGAGAGTCTCAGGGCTTGAATATTCAGAAGACACATTTCACGTTCCTGCCCTGCTTCAATAAGCTCTCACTCTGCGGGGGTCGCGGCTGCTGGAAGTTACCCCGCAGGTGTCAGGACCCCGGGTAGCAGAATCCAGAACACCCCCTCTCCAGGGGCCCTGACCTGCTCGCTGCACCTCCCGCGGTGCTGCCCCACTTGAGAGAAGCCTGGGGTGGGGGCCACTGCAGCCGCAGTTGGAAAGGAGGGGGAGCTCAGTGCTTAGCCTAGTCCCCCTCCCCTGTTCTTTAGCCGTATTTCCCCAACAGACCTGTCCCCCACCCCACCCCCCTCAGTTGTCAGGCTAAATATTTTGGCTTGGCCAGGTGGGAGGGGCGGCGAGAGCTGAGAGGCCCTGCAAAGCAACCGGTTTCAGCCCAGGGCTGAGGGCAGCGAGAGCGGGAGCTGGTCCCGGCCCCCCGGGTGCCAGCCCTGGGAAATAGAGCAGCGAGTGAGGCGCTGGGGAGCCCAGCGCCTCCCGAAGGGTCAGGGGAGACACCTCGCCCCTCATCCCCCGGCCCGCAAGCCGGACCGATTGCTTCCCTCGGCCCTCGCTCCCTCGGAGGGCTTTTGCTCCACCCTCAGGGCTGGCGGCCTCCGGATCTGCCTTCTGCTCTGAACCGTGTGTTATTTTCTCCCTGTCACTGTCTGCATCTCTGTCCCCATCTTCTGTCTCTGGATTCACACTGAGCCTGTCTCCGGTAGCCAGTCACTGTCTTTGTGCCTCTGTGATTCTTCTTTCTTTTCTCTCTCTCTCTCTCTCTCTCTCTCTCTCTCCTGTTTCTGTGCAGGATTTCTTGTGTCTCTGCCCCTACCCTTCACTTCCCTGTCCCTGGGAGGTGTCCCTTAGGGCCTGGCAGACCCTTCTCACCGGACCATCTGGAGGAGAGCCAGGACTGAGCACAAGCCAAGGCTGGGACAATGGCAGTACCCAGCCTGTGGCCCTGGATAGCATGCCTACTTGTGGTCCTCCTCTCCTTGGGATTCAGCCTGCACACACTAGAGGGTGAGTCCCCAGCACTGTCCCGGACCCCCATCCCCCTCCCAGCCAGCTGTAGGCCAAACAACTGAGCTTCCAGCCAGAATACATCTACTTACTCTGCACTGCAACATGAGAGACTGGGGTTAGCTCTCAGAAGGACTTCCCGTCAGGAAGAGCACTTAGCTTTCCCCACATAAAGGTGTTTTTCTCTCAGCTGTGTTTGGGGAGGACCTCAAAACAGCGGCATGAATAGACATCCTCCAATCCCACTTGTGAGACTGGGATCCCAGTAAAGCCGGAATGAGAACTGGAATGTGGCTGGGAGATTCTTAGAGGTCATCTCTGGGGCCACCGAATGGGAAGCGGGCCAGTAGCTGAGAACCAGGCACCATTAAGTAAGTGGCCCCATTGTGCAGACAAGGAAACTGAGGCTCAGATTATTGAAGGGTAAAGCTAGACCGGTTCCTGGGCTGCTGCCTCCAGGGCCCCATACCATGTCCCCCGCCCCCAAGGCTCACCCACTGGGGGGCTGGTGTTGGGGTGGACTACTTTTACCAATGCTCCAGAGCCTGTCCCCAGGCTGGACACTTTCTGTATGATTAGAGACGGGGTGGTAGGAACATGTAGACTAAATGGCTCTTATAGGGGTGCTGGGGTCTGGGGGAGGGAGAGGAAAAAGACACTGGGCTGGAAGATTCAAAAGGGGAAGGACTAAGCGGTACCCCCTTCCCCAACCCCACCACCATTCCGCCTCCAAACTGAGGGGGCTCCAGAACCCAGTGCTCTAAGCCTGTTTTTGGGATGAGTTCGGTCTCGGCAGGAGGGGCCTCATGAATCTCCAGACTGGAGGCTTCCAGGGAGCAGGGCAGAGTCTCCCCTTCCTACGGAGACAGAGGCATGGTGCCAATCTGGCGGGGTAGGGGGGTCTCCTGGAGACTGCTAGTCACAGAGGCTCTGCCTAAGAGGCACAGCCCCCACCACACTCCCTCTTGCCCTCCCCCACTGCTGGGCCAGGACAGAGCACAGCAAATGCCAGGCAGGAGAGAGGTTGTCAGGACAGGAGCACGTCCCTGAGGCGGGGGAGTTTGGTCAGGGGACCCAGATGTCCTGTTCCCAACGCAGCTCTGCACAGAGCCATGTCCTGAGGGGAGGCAGGGGTTAATCTGTGAAGGTCGTGGATTTGTTTTTCCAAATGACTCCCATTGGGGGGCCCTGGAGAGGCAGGGGAGTGATGGGAAGTGGCGTGTGGGCGCCTGAGAGAACCCCCATCTGCCTCGCAGAGTCTGATTGGCCCTCGCCAGGGAGGGATAGAAGTGTTTTCCCATTCCCTCTCCCTCTCCCTCTGCCACTTTTTTTGCACACACACACACACACACACACACACATAGCTGCTGGGCAGAGCCAAGATCAGGACCATTAATGACAAAAGGGAGAAGGTGCGAAGTAAGCCCCAGGGAACCAGCTTTGCCTGCTTTTCCCCAGGCGCCCCCTCCCCATACACACACTTAACAAACCATGGGGGATGGGCCTGGGAACCTGGGCTGTGCGGGATGTTGTTGGAGGGCAAGGTGGAGACCAAGGGCATGGAGGCTGGAGAGGTTCGCAGGAGCTGAAGAATTCAGATTTAGACCTTTGGCACTGGGGAGCCATGGGGGTCCCCTTGGGATCGAGTGAGTGCCAGGTATCCATCTCCCTTAGGGGAATGGTACTAGGTGCCTTAGGGAGAGAGTGGGGAAATGGGGCTGGGGTTCTGGATCTGAAGGAGCCAGACACACCCAAGTCCCCAGGGGAGGAGTGGGCTAGGGACCCAGATGTCCATTGATTCAACCCATGGTCCCTGAGTGCCCAGTGGTTCCAGCCCTGGACTGGGCACCATGTGGGAATGCAGAGCGCCACCCTCAGGAGGCTCCCTCCTTGGAGAGGGTGACAGAGATACAGATAACAATGCTGGGGCCATGTTGGACTGAGTACCACCCAGCCTGAAGGAGAAGTGATTGACTTGGGGCCAGGATGTCAGGGAAGGGGGGCTTGACCTGAGGCTTGCACAAGGGCTGAAGGTGTTGCAGGCTGAGTGACCCTTCTGATGCTGGAGAAATTAGTGGAGACCAGTTTATCAACACCTGGGAACATCAGGCTGAGGAATTTAAACTTGAACCTTTGGCAATGGGGAGCCATGGACTATCCCTTCAAGACTGAACAAGTGCAGGGACCAGGCACTTAGCCCCCATAAGACTGGGGAGAAGTGGAGTGTATGAAGCTCAGACCACTGCTTTCCAGTCACAGAATTCATTCATTCATCAAATATTTATTGAGTGTCAATTTTGTGCCAGGCACTATACCAGGCACTAGAGATATAGCAGTGAATTATACAAAGATTCCTGCCCTTATGTAACTTAAAATTAACAAAATAAATGAGGAAATTATATATTATAAAGTATTAAGAGTTATAGAGAAAAATAAAAGTAGGAAGGGGATTAGGAAGTGTTGCGATTTTAAATAGGATGGTCAGAAAA